CCCCGCGCCGGGGCGGGGGGCGGAGGTTGGGACGGGAGGACGGGGCGGCGAGACCCGGAGATGACTCGACCGCGCCACCCAGACAACGGGCCTGGCCGGAAGTTAGTCCTCCCCACCCCTCCCACCGCCTTTCGCGCTCCGCCGGGCGAGCTGTAGGATCGCGAGACTTGGTGGTGCCTTGGAGCCGTAGTAATTCTAGCTTTCTGGTGATGTCATCCTAACCGAGGCAAAAACAATAAAGCCCGGACGGATCCCTTCTAATTTACTAATACCCGAAAGCAGACTCAGCAATTCAACCTTGGCCGTATCTGATTTATCCTCAATGTAAATGTTTATAAACGCTTTTCTTTTTGCTAAAGCAACCCTAAATTGCAGCTAAGACACCAAACCTCTCCATATGTTAAAATACATAAAAATTACCTCCTTCATAATACTATTCTATTCTACATAATACTATCCTTCATAACACTATTCTCAGGCTCTGAAAAATTTCACGATCATTTCGTCCCTAGGCCACAGTCAGAGGTTTTCAGTTCTTTTCAGAATAACAGCAAAGATCTCTTAGCCAAGATCAATTAACGCAGGGATTCAGCATTCCTATGGGATTTTTTTTTAAATTTTATTCATTGCTTAAGCTGTAAAAATTCCTTTCATACTTTAATTTTGGTAAATAGTGGGTTTTTGAAAAGATTTAGTTGTCTTGAACAGTCTACACCACATTCTAGATTTGTCTGCTTTTTTCAGCATTATCACAATTCTCTAGTTACACAAGGAATTTGAGATTTGAAGCGCTTTATAAATATGTTAAAATACAGGGAAACAAAATAGTTCGTCTATTTTTTAAAGATAGTGAAAATAATGGATTCCTACAAAATGGAACGTTATCATCAAAATAGATGAACACAGGGGCTGGGAAGGTGGCTCCGTGGTAGAGTATTTGCCTTGCATGCCTGAGGCCCTGGGTTCCATTCCTCAGCACCACATAAGCAAAGAAGAAAAAAAGCCGGAAGTGGTGCTGTGGCTCAAGTGGTAGAGCTAGCCTTGAGCTGAAGAGCTGAGGGACAGCGCCCAGGCCCAGAGTTCAGGCCCCATGACCAGATCCAAAATAGGTGGACACAATATCTGTTGCAATTATTGTAGTTGCCACACAGAAGAGAAGAGCTCACTTCTCCCTGATACACTGGGGCAGGAGTTTGGCATTGTTTGAGCACTGCTAATACTCAAATCACTGCTAATGTCTATGATAAACCTTTAAGTGCCTCATTTAATGCTTTTCATTTAATTAAGCTAAGGTGCTAGATGCTGGAGTGATTTGACTTCATACTTGAGAACTATTAGACTCTTCACAGACTGTCAGCCAAGCAGCCAACCAGACTGAACTCATGTGAACATCAGGTGCTTTGGACACACCACAGACACTGAAGTGCAACTCACTCCTAAAAGGTACCATCCAAGCAAACAGCTAGCATTGAACTTCTTGCTATCACAAGCCTCTTCAAATTCTGGATGATGCTGCAGACATTTCCACCCAGGCCAGAAGGAGAGAAATTCCTCTGATGGCCCAACAGAACTGGTAGAAACACAATTCTTTCATTTGCATGAAGGACTGCCATGACTGGTGATATGAGCGAAGAACTTTGCAAGCTTTGACTTTCATGAAGAGCGTCCCATGATTGGCGCAGCCAGCCTTGTCCCAACCCCTTTCTGGCTAAATAAGCCAGCTGTTCAGCTCCCTGAGAGTTTAAGATACCTGAGTGGCTTTTGCTGAAAAGCACTGCCTCTTTTAAACCCTTGAGCTAACTGCTTGAGCACTGACTCTGATCCCAGAAAATGGGAGAAAAGTTTGGCATTCTTGCTTCTATTTTTATGTCTTTGCTCTAAGCCATTCACTTTGTAGTCACATTTGAATTCTGGAAGGACAGGACTGATAAAAAATAATCTTAATACTGGGTGCCTGTGGCTCAGGCCTCTAATCCCAGTTAGCCAGGAGGCTCAGAACTGAGTATTACAGTGCAAAGCAAGCTTGGGCAGGAAAGCCAATGAGACTCTTATCTCTGTAAGAAAGGAAGAGATGGATCCATGGCTCAAGTAGTAGAATGCTAGCCTTGAGCAAAAGAGCTCAGGAGTAGCACCTAGGCCCTGAGTTTAAGCCCAAGAACTAGTGCACATGTGCACACATGCATGTGTGCACGCACACTCACATTACATACAAATAAATATCTTCATGACAAGGACCAGAAGCTAACACTAAGGAGCAACAGAAAGTTGTGTCTGGATAGACTAATCATCAGGTTGGTCAAAATTACTCCTCTCAAATGATGACAGCAGTAAATTCTTAGGAATCCCTCTAAAGTGATTAGTAGGCCATACTTTGGCTAAAACTGCTTAATAAGTATGTATACCTCTTTCTCTCTTCCCTTAATTCTTTGTCTATTTAGATCTTTGTCTACTTAGTTCTTTGTCTATTTAGGTCATGTATGTACCCCCAAAGACAGCTAAAGATGAGCTGAGTGTTGTATTCTCTGTGGATGCTCTTCAGCTTTTCTCTGTCTCTTTGTCGCAGGTAGAGGTTAGTGGCCAGACCTACTGGGGAGTCACAGGAGTCTGGGCCTGGAGACTCAGAAGACACCCTTGCTGGCTGGCTCCCTTCCACACTGGGTCTCATAAAAGGCTTTCCTAGAAGCATCTTTTCTTCTCCACTTTCCATCTTTATCGTTAGTAGAGTAGGCTGAGTTGGTAACACAAACAAAAAGGGAAGGTATGTCAGAGGTAGCAGAGGCGGCAGCAATAACTGTGGAGCAGAAGGAGCAGGCAAAGGAGCACTGGAAGCACTGGCAGCCGTCACCCTGGTGGCAGTAGTAGCAACAATGGCTGTCAGCTGCAGGAGTGAAAGCAACGGACAACAAAAGTGACTGAGACAACACGGAAGACAAAAGAGAGAAAATTCAAGATCATCGAAAGCTAAGGCTGAAGGAAGTCAGAAGGCTACAAGGAGTCAAAAAAAAATTACAGTCTCTGGTCACTGAAAGAGTTCCATAGAGCTTTGCTCTTGTTTCTGTAGGGGTAAGAATCCCAGTCCACAAGGCCCAGCCATACAAGAGCTGTAACATTAGGGGATATCTGCTGCGTCTGCTGCTGTCAGACAATTAAAAACCAACAAGAGACTACTTCCAATGGGAAAGCTTTTCCTCACCTATCCATAATTTTTTTCCATGCCGAGTGGGACCATAACACTTAAAAGCTGCTTTTGCTGGAAATCACCATCTTCCTAACTTGTGTCCACAAATTACCTGAAAGTAGGATCAAAACTTAGAAGGGATTTCACTGGAACCCTGGAGAAGAAAAACCTTGTAAGTTTCCAGCAGTTGTGTCATACAAAATGAAAACTAATAAGACATATAGAAGGTATTTTCTGTTAGGATTTTTCTTTAACACATGTAACCATTTTTCTCCTCATAAGATTTAAGTTCATTTCTTATCCTGTCCATTTTATTTCTCCAGGTATGTTTACAATATTCTTTGAGCAGATTCACTCCCTTTATCACTTCTGTCTCATTCCCCCTCTCATCAGATCCTACGTGCATTAAGGATAGATTTTTTTTTCCAATTACAGGAGAAAAATGTCAGTTTATCCCCTAAAATGTGAATAAAATTTTCAGTTGGAACACCAGAAGTCAATGCCTGATGGTGTCAATAACTTGAAGCATTAAGAACAAATGTTGTCAGCTAAGAGAAAAGGGATTAAATTGTGTCCAATTGAAATTGAAGTCCAGTGTCCATATCTTAGTATGACCCCCTTATTTGGAAAAAAGGTTTTTACAGAGGCAATAGAGTTGAAATGAGGCCATTAGGGTGTGCCCTTATCCAATATGACTAGGGTCCTTATAAAATGAAGAAATTGGACACAAACTCAAAAATGAAAAGAGAACATGGAAATCCATAGATCTGTAAGCCAAGGGATGCCAAGAATTGCTAGCAATCCCCAGAAGCCAGAAGAGGCTTTAAGAAAGGATTCTGGCCGGGTGTCTGTGGCTCACACCTGTGATCCTAGCTACTCAGGAGACTGAGGTCTGAGGATGGAGGTTCAAAGCTAGCCTCCGCAAGAAAGTCCGTGAGACTTTTATTTCCAATAAACCACTAGAAAACAAGAAGTGGCGCTGTGGCTCAAATGGTAGAGCTCTAGCCTTGAGCTGAAGAGCTGAGAACAGCACCCAGGCCCAGAGTTCAAGCCCCATGACCGACCAAAAAAAAAAAAAAGAGAGAGAGAGAGAGAAGGGATTCTGACATAAAGCCATTAGTGAGCACAACTTTATCAACAACTTGATTTCTAACTTCTAGCCTCCAGTGCTGAGAGCCCTACAATTCTGTTACTCTAAGCCATCTAGTTTTTGCTACTTTGTTACAGCAGACATATGGAAAAATTGCTGTTTGCCAAAGGTATTTGGAACTCTGTATATAGTTAACACCAATGTGAAATTCATGCTATGTCATGCTCAGA